CGGGGCCTAAATGTGACGGCCAGATCACATGGGAAGTTGGAAACAAGCAATCAAGTATTGATTATTGCCTCATGACTGAAGGAATTTACCACAAACTGACAGAAATGAGGATAGACGAGGAAGGCATTAACAGCTTGGGTAGTGATCATAAACGAATAACATTACAAATGGGATACGAAACTAAAAATATGAGCATGGAATCAAAGTCTGGCAGCTCGTATTTAAATGACAAACAAATAATAAATATAGCCGCAAGAGTCGAGGAAGAAGTAGGCGAAATACCAGGCAAGGACTGGGAGTATAGGGAGCTGTTACATCTAATGACGAAGGAGATAGGGAAAGAGAAGAAAACCGTTTGCTGGAAAGGAAAAAGGAAGCCAAAAAGTTGGTGGAACAAGGAAATCCGGGAGGCGATCGAGAAGCGACGCGAAGCATCACGGGAGCATAGAAAGGCAAAAAAGGAGAAGCGGCCGCAGGACGAAGTCAAAAAAATATGGGAAATATATTTGGAGAAAAAATCCCTTGTACAGAAATTGGTAGAGGCAAAAATTAAAGGTGAAAGTGAACGCTGGATGACAGAGATACACGAAAAAAAGGAGGCCGCGCCTAGGATTTTTTGGAGCCACATAAAGGCGCTAGGTAGGAAGTCTGTCACAACGCAACAACATATTCTAGATGAAGGAGGAAATCAATTGGAAGGGTACGAAGCGCTAGGTTACATCCAAAAGGTAACAGCCGATTCGTTTCAAAAGAGCGTCCAGGGGATCTCCCCGGTGAGTAAAAGTGTGGCGGAGAAAGCAACAGAGGAAGAGCTAGTACTAGATAATTTCAACTGGAAAAAGGCCGAAGGAAAAATTCCAAAGCGCACTGCCGCGGGTTTAGATGGGATTCCCGTTAGCCTCATTAACGAACTAGGACATAACGCTAAAGGAGCATTGTTAAAAGCAGTAGAAAAAAGCTTAAAGGACGGACAAATACCGGACAGTTGGCGACAAAGTAGAATGAACTTAATCTATAAAGGCAAGGGAGAAAAGGACAAGATTCGCTCGTATAGACCACTAACCATTACATCGGTACTATACAGGTTGGCGATGCAAGCAGTAAAAATGAAAATAGAAACATGGGCCGAACATAACGATATTTTGGGAGAACTTCAGAACGGATTTCGAGTCGACAGGCGGTTAGACGATAACCTGTTTGTTCTCACTCAGTGTATAGAAATATCTAAAATAGAGAATAGGCCCTTGTACGTGGCTTTTCTAGACATCACTGGGGCATACGACAACGTTAATCAGGAAATTTTGTGGGATATATTGAAAGGAATGGGCATGGGCGACGACTGTATACAGCTTTTGAGGGAGATATACCGAGAAAATACAGTTTGCATAGAGTGGGAAGGAATGCGTAGCAAAGAGAACGTTGAGGTTAGCAGGGGTCTGAGACAGGGATGTCCTTTGTCCCCACTGTTATTCATGCTGTACATAGTGAGTATGGAAAAAGCGCTAGAAGGTAGCAACATTGGTTTTAATCTGTCACACAAACAGGGCGGCATGATGATTGAGCAGAAGCTTCCAGGTTTATTTTATGCGGACGATATCGTCTTATTTGCGGACAGTCGAGATGATATACAGCAGCTGGCGAATATATGCGGAAGGGAAGGTGAAGCTCTTGGACTAGGATTCAGTGTAACGAAGTGTGGTTTGATGGTATTCAATGATCCCTGTGATCAGACGGTGTCCATACAAGGCCAAGAAATACCGAGGGTAAGTGAATACAAGTACCTTGGAGTATGGGTAAATGAGAGTGATAGATACATGGAGGTACAGGAAAAAGCCTCGGCAGCAAAAGGAAAGAGGAATGCGGCAATAATGAAGCACAGAGCGTTGTGGGGATACAATAGGTATGAGGTGCTTCGAGGCCTGTGGAAGGGTGTAATGGTTCCAGGGCTTACTTTTGGGAACTCAGTGGTGTGCATGAGGGCAGAGGTGCAATCGGGAATGGATGTAAATCAAAGGACTGTGGGACGCCTCGCGTTGGGTGCTCACGGGAAGACGACAAACGAGGCTGTAAAGGGCGATATGGGGTGGGCAGGTTTTGAGGCGAGGGAAGCGCAGAGCAAAATAAGGTTCGAAGAAAGGCTAAGAAATATGAAGGAGAGTAGATGGGCAGAGAAGGTGTTCCGTTATTTGTATAGGAAGAGCGTGGACACACAGTGGAGAAAAAGAACTAGAAGACTCACTAGTAAATATACGGCTGGTATTGTGAGCCATATGTCAACAAAGAGCGTTAAGGGAAAAGTCAGGGAGGCGGAGAGGATTTACTGGATGGCAGCTATGGAGAAAAAACCGGCTTTGAGTAACTACCGAAAGGGCAAAAATGAAATAAGGAGGGAGGCATTTTACGATAATTCAAGGGGAAGCGCTTTACTGTTTGAAGCGAGATCGGGTTGCCTTAGAACGCGTAGTTATAAAGCAAGATTCAGTAAAGAAGAAGAACAATGCACATGCTGCGGAAAAGATAAGGAAACGGCGGAGCATGTTCTGATTGAATGTGGAGATATCCACCCAGGTGTACGTTTGGGCACGAGCCTACAGGAAGCCTTGGGTTTTAGGGACAGCAATGGAAAGCTGAACACACCCGCGATTGAAATAAGTAAGAGACGGTTAGAGTATTGGTGGCAGAAAATTAGAGAGAAAGGACAAAAATAAATATTGGAAAAATAAAATATGGACAGTGTGCCGTAAATGGCAGAGAACTTAAGCTGAAAATTTACCTTTTTTCCATTAAGATAGAATTTATCGAAGTAGAGGCATTAGGCCAACATAAAAAAAAGAAAAAAGGTTTTTTTTTTTGTCGAGCCTGGTGGCATACTTGTCACCACCCCGTTATAAAGGGGACGCTCATAGCATCCATCCATCCATCCATCCGGCAGAGCCTGTTCACTGACTCCGGTGCTACCGCCGGCACTGACGGGTGGGTCCTTCGTTGCGCGTTTGTAAGCGCGGCAAGCTTAAAAAACAAAAGTGTGATACCACTCCCGTGTGCCACTTAAATATTTAGGAGACAACATATGCAAGAGAGAAAGAATAAGTACGCAAGATAGCACATTGAAAAGAACACCATACCTTCAAGAAAACGGTAGAGAAACTTGTTTATTGCGTATTAATTCATTCGCAACCTGCGGAAACGAACAAGAGGGCGTCGATCGAAACGTTCCTCACACGCCAACTTCCGTCAACTTCCAAAACTTTCGTCAACTTCCAAAAAACTTGCATCGCAGGTGTGCACCACCTGCTCCTTCAGAAGCTTGAGGGCTGCAGTAACGGCAGGGGACAGCAGTTGGACGGCTCTTTTCACATTCATTTTTTCCAGGTTACTCGGAAATACATTCTTCCTTGTCAAGAATCTCACTGGCTTCACAATGCTGTCTTGCTGCATTTTGTACAGGTTCTTCACGTGTTCTGACGTGATAGCTCCGTCTTTGTCGAGGTCACGAGCCAAAAACTGTGACCGCACAAAAACTAGGCACCACACCTTTCATAAGCCTTCGTGTTTTACATCCTTGCTTAAAATCAGAAGCAGCGAAATGACGACTGCACACGGTTGAGTAGCAGGAAGTGGTGTTCGGCGTCCAATTGTCTCGTGAAATGACTTTTATCCACTTTTGCCGCAACTCCTCGTCGCTTGGAATTTCGTGGAATGAAATTCCTACTTCCTTCTTTTTGCTTGAAGACTTGCAACCGGGCACGCAACAGTACGCCATCGCACCTGACGCGGGTCATCACAGCCGAATGAACCACGGAGACTTGTGTGCGTAGGCCGCTGCACGAGACAGAAACGAGAGAAACCGTAAACTAACATTCCTGATTACTTAGCGAAATTCGCTGATAGGTGCGCGGAAAAGCCTCACGAGAAAGAAGCGCGAAAAATGATAGCAAAGCATGAAACCGGCCCTGCAAACACGAAGTGCAAACGACGTTGTTTGTTTATACGCACTCACTTATTGCCGTGTGTCATCTGTTCACGCAACACAATGAAGCAACAGTTAAATATCATACTTGCTGAAAGTACTACGCTGCGAAGATAGGTGCGCGGAAAAGTATTGCCAGAAAGAAGCGCGAAAAATGATAGCCGCGCTTGACAACGGCCGTGCAAACGCGGGGTACAAACGACGTTGTTTGTTTATACGCACTCAGTTAATGCCGCGTGTCATCTGCTCACGCAACACAATGAAGCAACAGTTACAATTATACTTGCTGAAAGTACTACGTACCGTTTTGGTCGTAAATAATTGGTGTTGCAAACGTATGCGACACGAACAAAGGTTTCCTGGAGATGCGTCGCCGCGGCTGAATGCGCCGACTCGATTCTGGGATGCGAGCGCCCCTGGCGGACAGCAGACGCAAAAAGAGAGGAGGATGCGGGAGGCGGCCGAACGGGCCCGGCGGACTGACTGCGCGGGCACAGAAAATAAAGGAGGCTATGGTCTCATTGCTTATCCATACGCCCAGATATTTGTATTTATCTGTTATCTCTAGCGTGACCTGTATTCTAAGCTCACTACCTTCGTTGTCATTGAAAATCATGACTGCTGATTTTTCCTTACTGAATCTAAAATCTAACCTACCTCTTTCATTACCGCAGATGTTCATCAATCTCTGCAAATCTTCCTTGTTGTCGGCCATTAGCACCATATCATCTGCGTACATTAATGCTGGTAGTGCCTGATTAATGAGTTTTCCTTGTTTGAATAAAGAGAGGTTGAAGCCAAGTCCACTTCCCTCTAATTTGGCCTCTAATCCTTGTAGGTACATCATGAATAACAGGGGTGACAGTGGACACCCCTGCCTAAGTCCCCGTTTCACCTCGGTGGGCTTGGATACCTGTTTTTCCCTGTTGAATAGGTCTACCTGTTGAATAGGGTACCTGTTGAATAGGTCTACCAGCGCCCTCTCTAGGTCGAATAAGTTAGTTCTCAACGCCACCGCTACCCTCTTTTTCGTTGCAGAGGTGCAGTTTCCTTTCTCTAATTGGTGTTCTGTGGCAGCATGGTATGTAGGTGTTCTGTGCTGTAGCAGCGGTCGCATGCTCTTCGTTCTTTCGATATGAGGGACCTGTGGAGGCAGCGATGTTCAGTCGTTGGATGCAGGCCGAGTGACTGGACAACGGAGCCGCGTCGGCACCAGGTGCCTCGCGGTGGGGCCCTACGCACTGCGTGGCTGGAGAGAATCGGTCATCCGGTGACGCACAACGGGAACCTGTATGTTTGTGGTCGACACTTCGCTCCCGAAGATTACACCATTTACCTGCGGCGGGTGGAGTCGATAGACTTCAAATCAAAGCTGAGGCAGAAAGCTGTGCCGACGCTTCACCTCCCCGTGAGTATATAGTGCCGATTTCTAGAAACGATTTCACCAGCCTCACATGTAATAATTGGGGCAAGGTTCTGTTTGGCCATAGTGTACTAGAATGTGGTGTAGTGTGTTCAGGCACCCTCTCTCGCCATGCATCGCGTGAAGCGGCGCACGTGGACAAAAATATCGGTTGTCAATGCGGCGCTGCCGTAGCATGGGCTGGCACAACGCCTGGCAGCACGGAGAAAGGAAATGTAGGAGAGGCCCTGACGTCACTCGTTGTGGTGGTGGTGGTAGTGGTTACAATGAAGAGGAAAAAGGCACCTAATTTCTGTCTGCCTTCAGGCGACACGGCGCAGTGCCTTATAGGGGTGGGGGGAAGGAGGGATAAAAAGAATAGAAGGAAAGTAGAAGCAGAAGAAGACAGCCAACGAGAGGAAAAAGAAGGAGATAGGAAAGTGGGGATCCGGTCGAAGCAGTCCAAGGGCGGGGTGCCACAATGCGAGAGCTACACGGCATCAGGAGACCGCGGAGGGCGAACCAGTCGGCGGGAGCTACGCTGAAGTCGGAGATCGCGAGGGCACAACCGTCCAGCTTGAAATCCTGCGAGCGAATCCACTCGTTGTGAAGCCGCATGGAGGAAGAACTGAGGAGAGGCCCTCGCTACAGTGACTAGAATAGGAAAGTGTGATGGTGGTAGTGGTTAGAAGAAAGAGGGAAAAGGCACCTAATTTCTGTCTGCCTTCAAGCGACACGGCGCAGTGCCTTATAGGGGTGGGGGGAAGGAGGGATATAAGAATAGAAGGAAAATAGACGAAGAAGTAGACAGTGTTATGAGCGGCAAGCGGCGCCTAGGGAGCGCACTGAAGTTTCCGAGGAGCCGCGTGGGGGAGCGCGCAATTGTTTAAACGTCGTTTGCACGTTTTCGACAGTTTGGTCGGGTGCGTTCGTCCTCGTTTTTTTTTTTTTTTTTATTGCGGTGGCACTCTGACACCAGTGCTTCTGTATGCACTCTGATGGCGCGAAAACAAAGTCATTGCTCGTCCCCCGGGTTCACTACAGGCTATTAGTCAGCTGAAAAGAAGCATGCGTTGTTCGGCGTTCCAAAGGACGAAGCTCTGTTAGCGCAGTGGCGTAGAGCGATCCCGCGCGCTGACAAGCTGCTTCAAGATAATTCGGCTGTGTGTGAGCTGCACTTCAGCGTGAGGTACATCTCCCGGCACTTCGAGCACACTTAGATGGGCGAAACTGTCCGCATTGAAAGGGGTACACCCATGGGCGTGCTTGCCGTTCAGGGGAGGGAGGGGGGGGGGCGAATGTTTATTTCAAGGTGTCTCCTTTACATTAAATCGGTATATAAGGCAGATTTTACGCCACCCATGTAGATAGAACAGATTTAGCGCCCCCGTCCCATGTGGCCAGCCCCCTTTGCCTCCCTCGTGTGGACGCCTATGGGTAGGACTTTCGGAGAAACTCTTCGCATTTGTCGATGCCTTTGAAATCACTTTTTCAAAGTGCTTTAGCTACAACGAGCTTCACAGTGACAGCTTGGAAGAGCTTGTTTCCTGCTTGAAAAAAAAAAATGTCACACTGGGCTGCACACAACAAGTTCCGAGCTTCACCAGTCAAGTAAACAAGTTTTTTCTGCTCACCCATTTGCGTTTTTACACAAAGGTACTCCACAAAACGCGAGCATCTTCCCGTGAAAAGAGGAAGTGCCTGAAGCTCAGGCACATAACCTAGACTTGCAGCCCAATGTTCTGTGGGGCGCTTGTGAACTAATAAACTTTTTTCTTGGGGATAAAAAAATATGTGCAACAAATTATTAAGAATGCATTGTTGTAAACAGATAGTGAGTCACTACTCGTAAATGTGTTCTATCACCTGTGTGCAGAAATTAAAGGATTTCATTCAGACACCGCTCGTGGTTCTCGCCGCATGATTATGACGCTTTGATTGATGAGGTTTCATTTACAGGTTTCAGATTTAGGTGCACGTTAAAAAAAAACCAGTTGGTCGGAATTTCCGGAGCCCTCCACTACGGCGTCTCTCATAATTATATGGTGGTTTTGGGACATTAAACCCCACATATCAATCAATCATCAATCGATTATTCACAGATTAGTGCTTGAGAAAATGGTGGTTCGCCGTGAAAAGTGTTGCAAGCAATGGCTCACAACTGAGCTCATCGTTCCACTCTTCTACCACTTCTCATCGACAAAATGTTTCAGTACCGTTACGAGCTCACTTTCGGCATCCTGTCGACCTGACGATGTTTCAGATCAATCGTGCACCCACGTAGGCATCCTGTTTTTCAGAAGCTAATTAACATATTTTCGCCTTTTGAGGCCATCTACGAGCAAGAAAATATATTTTAAATGTTTCACATTGCCCCCGCGCATGTTAGATTGCCGTCTCTGCGCAGCGCCGCCTTAGGTGACGTGCAAGTGTGTGCCAGCGCCATCTGGTGGTTTCCTCCCAAGGCGTTATGCGCTAGCCGGCGCATTCATCACACTTCCCTATTCTAGCCACCGTACCCTCGCTATCCAAGCGGCAGCATAAAAAGAGTATGCCCCGTCATTGCCCCGTTGTCTCGCGTCGTCGGCAAAGCACACCTTTGATCGGCTTGTTGTCTGTGATTCTGCATTTTTATGAGAGTTGTGTTCGCGGATGACGTAAGGTTCTAGAAGTTCATCCTACAGTGAGTGCATGTCGTCACGGTTGCGTGCACAGCATTTAGCGTGCCACCGCGAAGGATTTCGAAGCCCACGACAGCGTCTCCGAGAAGCCTTCGCGCTGCAACTTCGCTGTTTGCCATAGACACCGTGCTGGTGCACTCCTAAGCGATGAAAGGATACATTTCGGATAACAGAACGACACCTCCGGTGGCTCTTAATGTTAGAGACAGTGGTGACCCGTTTCCGTGCGCGATGGTGACGATTGGAAAGCATTGGCCCGGTGCTCTCACTGAACGCTGTGTCGCGAGGGCAGTGTCTCGCGGAAAACCTTGTTCTTTTTCAGCTGCAGCTGGAGCTTGTTCTTTGCCAGATGCCCTTGTTGGCAGCGCCGTTTAGCTTGTCTCGGGGAGCGCGCCTTGAAGAATGAGTGAACAGACAGGGCCGCGTCTGGTCGGTCACTGTGCGCTTCGCGCCAAGGCAGGCGCCACGCCTTGCTTTGGGCCGGACCGCAGAAATTAGGTGCCTTTCTCCTTCTTCTATCGGCTGAGCCCCTGCGCTTCAAACGAGCGAGCCGCCGCTTCGGTCCTCCGGTGACAAAGAGCACCTAAATTTGAGCGATCGTTGGCGCGTCAAGGCCGTTTCGGAGATCGCACCCGTTTCCAGAGGCTGCCACAGTTTTGTCCCGAGACAGGTTTCAGGCAACCACATGTTCATTTGATTATCCTCGGCTTGCCTGGTTGGTCCGCGTCACCGGGGACGCTAAAAAAACCCTATTTTAGCAGCGACTCTGGCTCTTTTTGAAGAGAGCGGAGTCGGGGTCAACAGCGGATCTCACCACTGAAGACCAGCCATGCAAGCCGAAGGGTATGCCACCATTTTCTATGTTTTGTCTTTGTAACCTAGTGCATTTTGTAAATTTAAGTTGCGTTAGCTAAACAAACCCCCAATGAGTGCTCCCCGAAATTATCGTGTTGACTTCTCATCGATTGCCTCCGCGGAGTTTCACCCACACTTATTCGTCTCCCTGGTCGTCCGATGCGCCTAACTTTGAACAACCCCAATTTTTCGCTACAGCTGCATCGTCAAGAGTAGAAACGACGTGCCCAATCCAATTGTGTTTGACACGAGAAGGGGATTTGCAAAGCTGCTTGACGTGTTCAGATTCCATTACGTCTTGTTCGAGTTGGTTTTATATGGGCCGAAGTTCTCTTCGAAGCGGTCGTAACCTAACGTCCGCCCCGCCCCACTGTAGCTTGACTGAAGTGCCGCCACATTGGTGTGATTGTTCGAAACTCTATGGTGCGAATGTTATGACGCACAGATGCAAAGGATAATCTAAAAGGTGCAACTTGCTTCTATAGGGAAAGGCCAATGCAGATGGCACTGTTAAATTATGTCACGTACCCTTCACTTACCAGTTCACCTGAAAAAAAAAAGTTCACGGCGATTACCATACCGAGTTTCACAGTTGTTTTTTTTTTTTCATTCAACTCAATAGGCTTCAAGCACGTAACTGGCAGCTTAGTTGAAAAGCTCAATAGCAACACTTGCACTCAATAAAACTTTGTTCTATTCCCTTTACACTCGCCTGGGCAATATACTGACGTATAAACATGCAGTCAATTTACATGTCTCTCCTATAAAGGTTGAACATTTAAATCTGCAGCACGCGCATCGTTGCGGTTTCTCATGGCAGTAGGAACGGCATCCTTGCCAAGGTGAACTGCCACTGGCGCGGCTGGATTAAGGTGCTCCGGTGGGAAGTGTTTTGAGCTTACAAAAGACCATTTCGTTGGTTCCCAATCGCATTTGGCTAGGTCTAATGGCCTCGACTCTGAGCCTTCTTCGATGGGGATCTTTGGGAAACCTTCACGAATGCAATTATAAATGTACCCAAATTCACTGCCATTATTAACACAAGTCATTAATCAATTGAAACACGAATGATATCACGATGCATACAAAGCGAACGAAAGAAGAAACTCTGGCGCTAGCTGCGCCATTTTGTCAGCATCGTGGTTAATTGTGCTACGTTTTATTGTGTTCAGGAAATGTCACCAAGAGCTGTAAGTAAACTCCAGGAACACTACGCTGACACATGCAGTGTGTCACTCTCTCTCCGGCTCGGAAAGCACGTGAGCTGCGCAGCGCACGTGTCGTGACGATCCGAAACTAATGAAATGGGGGCTCAACACTGGGCCAGCACGACACCTTCGGGGAAATCATTTCGTCCCAGTAATAACAGCGGGTAAGAGCTCACCGACAACGAAGCAAGTACAAGAGAACGTGCGCTCGATGAACTGACAGCGGCAAGTGTTTTCACGACATTAATTCAGCAACTGTACA